AGCTATACTTAAGCGATAAGTCAGTACGTGGCTGAAACAGCCAGTAGTTCTACATCTAACAAGGTTTTTTATGGAGATAGGAGAACCTGTAGATTTAGATCTAGCGCAAATCAAACCGAGAAGTACAGCTTACATTTCAAACGGGAGAGTTAATTAGCCTGGGTTCAGGGTTGAAGTCACTTTTGCATGCCCTGGGAAAAATTGTTTTTTATCCTCACAGAGGATCAGTCTAAACGACTCAGGTCTAGATTGACTACGAGTGCTTCCAAGTGCAGCGGGGCTGCCGTAGCTTTGCGCTTAGAGGAAGCGTAAATTAGGTCAACGACCTTTCGTCTTATACTTAGAACAAGTACGAGGTTAGCGGATCGCAATCCGCTTACTTCTAGAATAATTACAACCTTCACCCAAAGCAAATTAATTCTACGGTTTAAACTCAAAACTGACTTTATTTATCTTTATCTGCGGCAAAGCCGACCAATTTTAAATGCATAGATTTTCCTAAATATGTATAGTAAATTTAAATACATGCATAACTACTGGCTATTCAGCCCCGTATCGTATTCTTGTTTGGGTGTGGTCACGCCATGCCCATCTGGTGTGACACACACATCTGTACCAGGGTATGTGTAACTTCGTTACAGGTTTGCCAATTTCCCAATGTTCAGCAACTTGTGCAGCGATGAACTCTTCCTGCTTTTAGGATTTAACATCTCTTCAGATTCTGCTAATTTGAAATTTTAACGTACATACACGGGATAGCTGCGTTAGGTACTTTTTTTGTTCTTATGGTGAATACCGGTCGAGAAAAGTGTAATAATAGTAATGTCAGAACGGCTGACCTCAAACTTCTGAGCAATATTTAATTTGTTTTCGAGTCAACAACATCGAAAGCTTTTCCTCAACGAAGATAAATGGCAGGGTAGAATGTCGAAGACATCAAGTACTTCAAAATAATGACAGCGCTTCTTAAAATTCTGCTTCTGTCGGATCAAACTATAGGATGTATAAACGATCATACCAAAAATGAGCAAGTCAGTTCAACGTCAAATTTACCAAGTGACGAGTGAAAACAAATGATGATAGCTTTAGAAAGTGTACCCCATGTCATGATACGATACAATTCAGATGTTTTCCTCCCAAAATTATCTTTGAATGTTAGAAATCCAACACTTCGTTAATCAGTCGGCAATGTAAGTTGCGTTGCCTTGTTCAATTTAAATTTCTCTTGGTGTGCAGCTGCTTCAAGGCGTCAAATCTTGGAAATGGGACCCACGGTTGTGATATGCAGCACCAATAACACCTCTCGCCGGACACAGCGGTTTTTGCTATCAGCATTGTCTCGTTCACGTTTACTTCGCTGCTGAAAATCAATTTAGCCTTGGTTGGAAGGGTCGGTGGGCGAAAATCTTCATATTCGAAAAAAACGTTTCTGAATACCGTGGTAAATCGCTCAAGTTTCGAGAGCAGTCTATTATAGTTTTTCGTTGCTGAGATTTTGAAATAAAGTGGCCAAGAAATAGAAATTGTGATTTTTGTTTGGTTTTTATTTGATAAGTACGGTGCATAATACTAATCACGACAAACGTGCACTTTAACTTGTTCATCCGGAAATCTTACTCTTTGTCTAAGGTCGGTGGATGGCATTGGTCATTCATTTTTGCGTTGTGGAGAGAATGCATGAACCATGGACGTAGACCAGCGCGTGCGAACCGAGGCAGTCGAATGAACGGCTAAACACATGCCAGTAAGTGTTTGGCATAGAGGGTAACCTTTTTCATTCAAAACACAGTACAAATACCTTTTTTTATTCTACATTTGACTCATCAGTGAAACGTAAATTAAATATTCGCCGAAGCAAACCAAGGTGCTACAGCTGTGTGGAGGTTTGTAACCAAAATATGCGTAAAACGCACGTATCCACCCGCGGATTATGTCACCGATGCTTACGGTGACGCACTGTTACACTGTCTTAGAGCTGCGTTGTGGAAAGAGGTGAAGAATCACTGAATTCTCAAATTTACAAAAAGCTATATGTGAAACGGCTAGATTTAGTTTTGCTATCCGAGGCATATTTATTTTAGTAAGACGAGCTTTCGAGACACTGGCAGACGGAAGTGAAAGAGCACGCTTTGATCTCGATAGATATGTATAAAAAATGGCTTCAGGTTTGTCGGCTGTTTGTCAAATCTGCAGCTATCTCACGGTCTTATACATGAAAATTGCCAATGGGAAATCAAGGATTTGTCAGTAACCAGATATTAGAATACTAGTTTTGACCACGTCGTGCCGCTGCAATCTTTTGAGCAGTCAAAATTTGGTTCAAGAGATAACTTAAGACCTGAATCCTACTTAAACTTCTGAAAATTGCACACACACGAGCAACTCTGGGGTGGGCAAGCCTGAAAGCGCCAAGTTCTCCGTTTTCCCACTGTTTTTGATCGGCTAGTAATATCAGAAGTGATTTTTTGTACAGTTGGCGAAATAGTCACGAAATTAATTGACAAGGCTAGAAAAAGAAATTGAGAAATAATGGCTACCATTGGAAAACATTTTTCACGTCCTGGTCAGCTTCGATAATTCATTGTACTCTGGCAAACATTTTTACCACCATATTACTACGAATACAGCTCTTTAGTCTTGTTAGTCTTTCAACACAGCCTTCACCCACTTCGCCTTGGGCTGTGCGTCCAGGGCAAATGCTTATATCAGAGCTAATACTATTTGCGACGGTGGCAACATTGAGCTTTCACTGATCCGACGATCGTAAATTTCAAAAACTTTTAACACCTTGATAGTGATTTCTGCTTTATTATACCTGAACACCTTACATATGGGCTGATATTGAAGACAGCAAGGGTCTTCGTAAACAATTACCCATAGATCTTAAGCGTCTTCATAGCAGCATTATTGGTCAATGATCGAGGCATAGGATGCTGCAAATTTGAGCTCATCTATCACATAAGTCATCACCCTTGCGGCTTCACTCAGGAGGATGGAAACTAGCCGCCGATGATGTGAATGGATACTTACCCGTTGCTTGCTGTTCTCCTTCAGACTTATAGCGAAGCTTAAAGGCATAGGGTCTATTGCTATCGTAGATTTCATCATCCTTTAGCTTGGTAAGGGCAGTGGCAAAACATTGTACGATGTCCTATCCTTAGAGATTACGTTAGTATGACACGTGAACTGCTTGCAATTTTATTTTCCGACCATCTCACACAGAGGAAGCTTTGCTTTTCAGAGTCGAAACTCACTGACACAAAACTTGTTTTCACTGGCCACCTTACAGGCCGCACCGAGAGCCAATCTACTAGCTTGTACCTTTTTACAACTATATATAACTTCGAGTTATGACAAACTTCAGATGGTAACATCTATAAACATGTTTTGCTTTTGAAAGAGGTCGCTGTACCCAACAGCCCTTCAATACATCACACACGCTTGTGCGAGGAGGAAGCGATACTCGGCATAGTGGGAAGGAAAGGAACTTGAGACTTGGAGGCAAACGTGCTTCTCAATTATAATGAGTTAATGATTCCTGACTACATGCAAAACACCTCAAAAGGTTATACTCATAAAACCTTGATTTCATATGAATCTGTATAAATCGATTGGGCACTGAGGTTGAACCTCAACTTGACCCTATACAAGATCTTGGGCGTACGGAGCTTGGACATGGAAAAAATATAACCTCATCTTCTGTAGTAAGTACCCATCAGAAGTGATTGGCCTACGCCATCCACTTCAAACGACAGAGGCACTTCAGTTTCGTCACCAATACAGATCCAAAAGTAGTTAGCGCTTGCGCGAAGAAACGGTGGTGCTGGAGCGTGATGCTCCCACTTAATTGAGTTTGTGTTGAATAATTCATTAAATGCCTTGAAATATTCACTCGATTTACAAAAATGGTTTGTTGAAGCCCGTGTTCCTTTTGACACCGCCAAGAAGTGGCTTTGCTTCTATCGGGGGAGAGGGTGTCGATCAAGATCGACTTGCTGATGTCAGGTAGGCTACTCTGCGTAGCAAAATAAGTGTATTTAAGGCACTAAAATTGAGCATCATGCGCAGGGTGCGCGACGCTATGATTGAAATTTAAGCCAAACAAAAGCAACACGTCAATGCCAGAGGCAGGCAGATTTGGAGCATGTTGCAGGGCTAGAGCTCTTATTAAATGCACATAACCCACGTATACAGTCAGTGTATGCGTTCTGAAACATCCGCGCTACATCGAACTGCTCACGGTTATCGAAAATGAATCTTGTTACACTCTGAATATCCCAAAGCGAATGCAAGCACGCCCAATATTCTATGTGGGCTTATTTAAGTTTTTTCCCGATCCTGATGTCAGAAGCCAGGCGAGCATATAAAGGTATCCTATTGACAGAGCGATATGTCTACCATCTATCTACCTGATCTATGATCTGCACCAACGCGATGTTGCAATGGTGTCTCAAGCCAGGCAGTGCAATGATGAAGCTTAGTCTTCTGACATCGAATCCGGCATCTCAACCATCTCATCCTTTGGACGCACGCCGTGACTCTCGGAGAGAATCGATTAATCGCCGCAACCGACAGAGGTCGCGAGAACCAGCTGCGGCAGGGTTGACCGCCACCAGTAATGATCGATGAGCAAATGGCAATCCATTTTGATATAGATTGTTCGGCAAACCATCAGATACACCAAGGCTGTTACCGAGACATGATGAAGCGAATTTTTCTCGCCTGAAAAATCTTGTGAGCTTGAAGTGCAATTTTGGTAATACTGCTCTGATTCCATAGTCCCTTACGTCCTGGCGTACCCGCGGTCTTTATCTTCTTTGAGGGAGAGGCGGAGTTGCCCGTCACAGCTCGTTTCCTACTTAGATGAGGCGGCTGATATTGCGGTGCATGCGACCCTTGGTCAGTAGCTATCGAATGAAGACACCCCGAGCTGTAGACAACAAATGCTTGAGAATTTATATCAGCGTTGTGCTATATACATTGCAAAATTAACCAAGGACGGCGGTCTAAGCGGACATTCGCTTCGCTGAAGCAGATTTGTAAAGCCTTAACACTTTACCCTTGCCCAGTGACCGAATAAGCCGTTCACGCAGCGGCACTTCCATCAGCTTTAAGTGCTCAAAGTGCATGCTGAATGGAGGATACGAGTTTCCCAACCGAAGCTACCCCAAGCACTACGGGGAGCGATGGCCTGTGGGTAGAGAAGGCGCTCTGGGGAAGCTTTCTTGCGCTCGTATCCCTCTGTGTTTTAACGAAAGGCTCACACTCATCGGCACGTTGAGCACCAGAGCGCCGAAAGACTTCGGATAGCTTTCACGACGCCATTTGGGCAAGAGTTGGCAAGGCTTGCGCTTGCAATGTAGTAAGCTGGGATTCTTCAACCTGGTCCAGTTTCTTGGCACCGAGCTGCTCTTTGCCGTGGTTTTCACGGCGGAACGTCGAAAGAAATTCCACCAGCAAAATAGACACGGGATCTGATTAACATGGTTGAGTTCAATTGTGCCAAAAATGCAGCAAGGAGGCTACTCGCAGTTTGCTCCTTCTCCTTGAGGAAGGGAGAGATTGTGTATCGCCGAGTGAGGGCGAAATTGTCTGGTCAGGACTCGAAATGCACTGGGACCGCTCTATCCAGAGATTACCCTGGCACTCTCATCAAGCATTTCTTCCAAGCGCGTCAGGCGCGAGGTCGTGCTATTGGCAGGGCTCGTTGCGCCATTTAATCAAGTGCACGGACACGGACTACCGGCGCAGTATGCTCAGAAGAGCAAGTGCGGTAAAATGCAAATATTGAAGCGGAATTGTAGGTTTATTGGTTGCTCGTGGAGCGGTCATGTCTGCGCAGTGTCATGAAAAGTAAAAATAAATTTGAACTCCAGTGCAGTGTGGGGAAGATATTACAGGGCAAGTACTGTAATTTACCCTACATATTAAATTCAATTGTAATAATTACAATACAATACAATGCAGTTAAACAGAATCCACATGACACATGGATTTTCGTAGGAATTACGGAAGTCCTGGTGTCGGGAGTACACGTGTACAACAGGAATTATGCGGAATTGGCACGGGCATTGGTTGCTAGCCGCGGCAGAAAGGAGAGATAGTTTTAAAATAAGAAACAGTAAATACTTGACGACACACAAATTTAACTTGCATCGACTAAACATAACGTTAAGTGGTCCACACTACACATTGTCCTGCTAATGAACGCTCAACTGCGGAAGGTGATACTTGGGGGCGCGCTGAGAGCGAACAAGCCGCTGCTATCTAGCACCCATACCTTATCTCGCAGTAAAAATGCGCGCTTGTTTTTTCCCGCTTTGCAATCGCTTTCCATTTCAAATCGGAAGTTTTCCACGTCTGGTATCTCACCAAAACTAGAGCTGACGATGACAGAAGGACAAATCACTGGTAAAAATTTAGCTACTTTACAGCTGCTGCTATATTGTATAGGCTAACATGTCTGTCTGTCTGTATGCAGATATTACAGGTTCAGTTGCCAACAGCAGCACTGGTCACGAGCCGTGGGGTGTTGTACAGGGCGTGCAGTCAGTACTAGAAGCAGTGCACACGACCACGGGGCTTCCTTGGTGGGCCACATTATTAGTACGAAGTTAAAAAAATTATCAAAAATCGAAGAAGATTGCATGCTGACAGCGGTGTTGCTGCATGCAGCTCTCTGGTGTGACACTGCGAGCTACCATCTTTCCATTCTACGTGTTACAAATTCAAGCTATGCAAAGGCACGATCTAATGATATTGTTTATTGAGTCTTAAGTAATGCTGATTGTTTATGATTGAGTGCAGGTTATTACAAGCAAGACCAGATTTCATGAAATTGTATTCAGCTTACAAGTACGCTCGTACATTCATTGTAAGCTACTGCGCAGTGACAGATAGTTATGCGAGTGCGCTAAATTCTCATGCTGTTGATTATGCTGTAGCCGACTTCGGACCATAAAGGACACATAAACGCTATTTTACTTGGACGACAAGGTGTAAAAGCAGTAATGAAGAAGTACAACACGCGTCCTATCCAGACTATCGTGGGGTCCGTTGCATACATCCCCCTTTTCACCCTCATGGCATATAGTGCCCGCGATATGGTACGGTCCGGAAACTTTGCAGGATTTGACTCTGGTGGGTTTTCAGTCTGGATGAATTTGATAGAGACGGACAGTACATACGTCTTACCTATCCTCGCCGCAACATCAACTTACGCCAACTTGGAGCTATCTCTGCGGACTAAAAGTGGCTTGTGGACGACATTGCTACAAGGAGGACAATATATCACAATCCTCGCTGTCCCAATAATTGCGAATTTACCACAAGGTGTTTTCTTCTACTGGCTTGGAGCATCGTGGTCGTCCATGGCACAGATCATCGCTATGAGCAACAACAACTTTCGCCGACGTATTGGGCTAAAACCTCGAATTGTGGAAGCTCAGTCACCGGCTGCTGCACTTAAAATGACATCGGATGCTACCGAAGGTGCAACGGTTATAAATATTGTACCCTTCGAACAGCAGCAGCACTAGAAGTCAAAAGAAGTTTGTATTAAAACTGAAATTTTGACATTTGATCTTTTGCAACAAAAATGATGTTATTACCGAGAAAATATTAGGCACACATTAAAAAGTTAAATTTACGTATTTCTCTAGAAACACACGACGTAACCCTTCAAGATTTTCAAGCCCGATGTTGACCAAGCGCGTATCCTCCTCATTCATCTCTGCTTCCTCGGCATCAATTTCACGCTGCAAAAGCACAGCAAAGCCACGAACGACACCTGTACTAAGTACCATGCTACCCAAAGGTAGTTTTGAGGGAAAGGTGGCTTTAGTAACAGGCGGCGGTACTGGGTTGGGTAAGGGTATCGCTACTAAATTATCGGATCTAGGAGCTACTGTCGCCATCATGAGCCGCAAGAAAGGCGTCGTCGATTTGGCGGCGAGTGAAATTCAGAAGATTACGGGTAATACAGTGTTACCACTCACGGGTGACGTCCGTGATCCTGAGCAGGTCAAGAGGGCGTTAGACGAACTGGATGATCAGGCCGGCGTCCCTACCATCGTTGTCAACAACGCAGCGGGTAATTTCATTTCGCCTTTTGAAAGGCTAAATGCCAAAGGCTTTGGAACTATTGTTGATATTGTACTCAAGGGTACGGCTAATGTAACACTGGATGCTGGTAAACGCATGATTCAGCACGAGAAAGGAGGCGTCTTTCTTAACATTACAACCACATACGCCGAGACAGGTTCAGGCTATGTCGTACCCTCTGCTGCAGCGAAGGCTGGTGTCAGTGTATGTGGAGATAATAGTTTCCACTTGATTTACTACAGTGATAATGCTGACTTGTTGTATCCTGTAGGCTATGATTAAGTCACTGGCAGTGGAATGGGGCAAGTACGGCATTCGCTTTGTGGGTATTGCTCCTGGTCCGATTAAGACAAAAGGCGCTTTTGATCGACTTGATCCATCAGGAGCTTTTGAGGAAGTAATGATTCAAAACAACCCTCTAAAACGCTTTGGTGAGGTGGATGAGCTGGCGAATTTGGCGTCCTACATGACGAGCGATTACGCCAGTTGGCTCAATGGTGAGATCATTCGATTTGATGGTGGAGAGACAGTGTCGAACGCTGGTGAATTCAACATGTTCGGTGGAATCAGCCAGGAAAAGTGGGATGATCTCGAGTCCATTATTCGCAACTCAAACGCTGAAAGCAAGAAATAGGTATTATAGTTGTTCGAGTCTTGACATTTCACTCTGACAATAAATGCGACTGGCTCATCATATTCATACAACATGTGCCGTTACCGAGATAAAGGGAGAGAGGGCTTTTAAGCTGACTGATTTGATATGTATTATGATAAGGTGACGATTTTGATGAACTGGAGCTGTTATGAAAGGCAAAGCACACAAGCAGCATCAGCTGAATTTAGCTGCTTCATTGCTAGAGCAATTACGACGCTGCTGTTGCGAGATTGTACTTGACACGTAGCTGCTCGCGTATAACGGCGCGTCGTAGCATACGATCTTCATGAAAAATGGCGCGACGCTCCTCAGTCAGCTGCAGGATCCCGGATACTTTCCGGATCTCTTCGTTTTCTATCTCTAGCTGTTCCGAGCGCTTCTCTCGTTCTGTTGCCAATATTGCATTACGCACACGAAGAGCGCTGGCTATCGCCTCGATCCATTGTTTCTTCTTTATAGCTGTTGTGGCATCAAATTTATGCTCTTGAGAGCCGACAACAAGAATTACTCCCAAATTCGACTCGTCCTGGTTTCCATCCACCTCACGTACATCTGTTATTTCATCTAGTAAAATGGCCTTAATATCGCCTTCGCATGCTCTCGTCTCGATATTGAGCTTTTGGTATTGAAAAATGTTTTTTGCACGCACATATTGAAGAAAAACATGTTTCTTCCGCAGCACTCCATTCTTCTTAAACAAGTCACCGTCTTCTAGAAGAGGCAAATATTTTTCATGAAAAACATTTTCTATCTTAGCCATGGTAGCACATGTGGTACAGAGACGTACGGGTTCCATAAACTCAAACTTGACCACACGATCAAAAGTGGAAGTGCAGCGGTCACAGTACACGAGACCGCATCCACGACAATGGTGCTTACGCTTAAGCAGATCAAATTCGACGTTGCAGTGCATACAGGCTTCAACAAATTCATCCTTCACCCATCGTGGTGGACTCTGATGGTTAGACAAGATAGCGCTAGTCAAGGCATTTCCGCTTGAAATCACATGGCGCTGATGTCTCTTTTGCATCGTGTTGGTAAACGCATCGGTATGTTCAAACGTGTGTGGTGGCTGGAAACAGCACGAGACCAGTGCATAGAAACTTGTCTTAGCTGCTTGAGGAAACGAAGCTGCCATGGTAATGCTAAGGTACTGATGAAATTTACTTTATAAGCTAAACGGCAGAGGTTGCTGTCATGAGGACTAGAACCTCTTGAATTCGATGCGACTTCAAGGTCTCACACCGAAAACATGATAAGATGATATACAGTGTATATCCAGATATTTGTGGAGTATACATAACTTTGTGGTCTATGGCTACATCTAGTCAGAATTAAACAATTATGCGGGACGAGGGTTCCTCTGACGAGCATGAGCTGTCAACGACAACAAATGAGGAAGACGATGTAGATCTAGAACACATGGATGAAAACTTTTCGCTGCGACAGGGTGCAACGTGCGATGACCACTCACCTCCATCATCACTTCAGACATCGACACGGCAAACTTGTACCAAGGAGAAAGTCAAGATGATACGGGACGACAGCAAAACATCCTTGACGTCCAATGGTGCGCTTCGTCAGGGATCTGCTCCACGACTTCTATCAGCAGAGAGTGTTGGTCTCATTGCTCAATATGCAGCTGTGGGGCTAGTGTATGGCGTTCTGCCCAGCACTATCACTCCTTTTCTGACTTACTATCTTAACATGGAAGGTACAGCCACAACGTCGGCGCGAGCTCTACTATCAATTCCTTGGAGCTTCAAAGTGTTCATTGGCATCCTTTCCGATTGCTTACCTCTTTTTGGATACAGACGTCGACCTTATATGGTTCTGGGGTGGACTGTGACAGTTTTGTGTCTTTTGGTAATGGCTAGTTCTCGATTAGAAGATCCGTATTTTCCAGATCCGGAAATGCGAAAAATCAAACCAGCGGACTATTCGGTTGAGATGGTGCAGTCACTTAACAGAGATGCACCAAGTAGTGGAGCCAGGTACATTGTGCTCATGATGTTTGCTACCCTAGGATACCTTTTCGCAGACGTTGCTGCAGATGCAGTGGTGGTCGAGTATGCTCAACGAGAACCTGAAGAAACACGAGGACGCATTCAAACAGCGATTTACACGGTGCGATCATTGTTTAATATAGTGGCGCAAATCATTACAGGGTTTGGATTAAGCTTGCCCGATTATGGTGGTAGTTTTGATTTTGGACTTTCGTTTCCGGACACGATGCTGCTTTTAGCAATATTTTGTCTCCCTGTGATTCCAATGACGTGGATGTTTGTGCGCGAAGAAGTTGTGAAGGAGCGACCAATGCTGAAAAAGTATATTGGCGATCTTTGGGACGCTGTTCAAACGCGTGCTATCTATCAGGTAATTGCCTTCAGCTTTCTATCTGGAGTATTTAGTGGATTTACATATGTAGCACAAGATCCGATGACATCGTACTGGGTGCATGCTACAAGTTTCAATTTAAGTCTAAGCAGTATATTCGGTAGCTTTGTGACTGTGGTCACACTGGCGTTAACAGGAAAGTATGGACTACATTGGAATTGGCGGACGATGCATGTAGTCACCATGTTCTGTGTGCTTGCACTTGATGCTGTGTGTACCATGCTAGTGACGTGGAATATTGTGCGAAAACAGTGGTTTTGGCTCGGTGTACCGATTGTAGAGGCAGTACCGGAATCCGTTAGCTTCATCATTTCTACGTATGTGGTCGTGGAGCTAGCTGGACATGGTAATGAAGGAGCGATTTATGGCCTTTTGACCACAGTGAGTAACTTAGGTGGACCTTTTGCTTTGACCCTGACAAAAAACGTAAACGCAGCTTTCAAGGTGTATAATGACGACATATTGAATGATACTTATGAGGTGCGACGCGACGTGACCATCACCATCCTGATTTCGTACGTGATGAAACTACTGTCGTTGTTGTTCCTTCCTTTACTGCCTCGTCAAAAGGCTGAGACTCAGGCTTTAAAACGAGCAGGTGGAAGCAGTCGACGTATGGGTTTGTTTACGATATCATATCTATCTTTTGCGCTCGTGTGGGCAATTTTGACGAACTTGTTGGGTATTTTCGAAAGCACTCGATGCTGGATTATCACTGGCGGCTGTAAGGAATAGAGAAATAGATTGTAATTGTATGTGATCAGCCTTCATTACACGGCATGACTAAATATATTAAACTTGATCTACCGGCTCCAACAACTATCCACGTGCATCATATTTCATTTGTGATTAGCATGTTCGCCTATTGTGATCTAAAGACACACTCATATAGACTAAAATGCGCTCCGATATGGCGAAACACCGCTAAAGACTCGACAATAGATTTCGGTCCTCGAAAAGTGTTGCCACCACTGAGGATTGACTCAGATTCCATAGCACGCGATAGAGCCAAATCTAGTCGACTGTAATTTCTAAGGCAGGACGCGTACAATTCCACAAGCTTAGTACATGATTATGATCTGAAACACAAACCTTATCAATCTACCGACATTTCTTTAGATCGCCCATACATCGCGTCAGTATAAGAATCTGTTTCCGAGTGCACTGTCGAAGAATGTGTTACTGTAATTATCGTAGACAAGGAATCTCAAACCTTTGAGCGAGACTTGCTTGAGCTTATTACTAGCTTGTCTGTATGTGAGTGCACGTCGGCAGTAATGTCTTAATTTATTTCTCAACTAGATTGTTAGATAAGCCATGTATCGATATCTAGGCCTTCTCGAAGGGCGTAATCTCTTTAAAGTGGCAGAAACCTATGGAAACTTCGATCTAAACACTGTTTAGATGAATGTGCTTAACTCTCAAAGATTACTTTGTTCGACAACACGAGCCCCGCACTATATCCACGATATATGCGTCTATGGCTTGCGGGTAAGCATTGGTTTCGGATCGGGATCCCCGCTTTACAGCAAAGTTTTGGTGGACTGTGATCAAAGTCGGATCTGACACGTCAATCGCCGACCATCCGCAGACTGGAAGACGGCACGCGTAAATAACATGATGGAGGATATTGTTCGCAAAATTTGGGCGGAGAAACAGCATCATCGTGCTGAGCGACATGATCATTTACATCAAGCACTTTCAGACCAAGCTCGCGTGAGTGCGCAAACAACTAATTTGCCAATATAGACAAGTATATCCTGGCCATGACGGAATAACTATTCGGACGCGTTTTTGGGAAGCATGTCATCCGTAAAGATCGAGGTCATCAAGAGGGTCATCGTCTCTTCCTTAAAGGAAATTTTAGAAGCGACGCCGGAACCGTGCCAACCATTTCAGATCCTCGCTTTGGCTTCTGAAAAAGTTTTGATTTTCTTCCAACGGACAGAGCGTTGTGTAAATTGAACTGATTATATGAATGACTCCGATGGGACTCTGTATAAAATGCTTTATAAATAAACATAATTCTGCTTCATTTAAAATGAGCAATTATTCTAACATGTGACGCTTATGAAGTTTAACAATAAAAGTGCCTCTTCCTAGCGAGGCACTTGATTAAGCATCTGGAAAGTTGCTAGCGATCTTGATGTCACCAGTATGTGGTGACCTTATGAGTCAGAGCTTCCTTCGTGCCAGCTGCGTGGCAACCCAATTGTAACTGATATCGCATATTGACAATCCGGCGTCGGATGACATTGTTTCATCTGTGTCGTTGGCTTACGTATCTGTAATCTAATTTGCACCAAGCTTCTGTCGATGGCTATCGTGAAGAAAGAACTATATCGGCGGCTTCAGAACCAAGTGCATAAAATGCGAAAGTAGTCATCAACTGTCAGCGGATGGTGATATATTTTTTTAAAATGTTCAACCATCAGTAGGTGAGAGTCCAATTGTACTCCCAATAAGCTAGATAAAACGGGCTGATGTCATGTAAATGTTGAGGCTTTCGAAGAAAGCCATGCGCTGCAGGGCGACAATCCGAAGAAGTCGGCGACGCGCCTTGAGTTTGGCAAACTCAAACCGAAGATGGCGTTCCACACCCTCCCTCTGGCTCAACTGTAAGTTGTGCAGCGAGAAAAGTTTTCGATCACGTTGCTCTTTCGGGAAATGAGAGGCGGAGATGACCGATTATCGTCTCAAACGTTACGCTAGCGGTTTCCAACCTAGACTGCGCACAAAGTAGGCTCTAATGTGGGACTGCTATATAAGCAAGGCACTTTCATCACAAAACCTTTCAAACAGTAAATGTCCGAGTGTTTGCACTACCTGATCGGGCCTGTTGTTCACTACCTCACTTCTTATTGAAAAAACAGGTTTAGCATCCTCTTCTTGGTTTGAAAATCTGCTAGCGGGGTCAACAGCAAAATTTTCTTCCAAAAACGGCAACGGTAACCATCTTTCACACAGATTCGGCTCGCTGACTTCTTGGGTCCCCCGAAAAACTGTTTAGGAAATGGTTGGTGTTGTGCTTAATGCGGATCACCCCTTCCAACCCGCACCAAGTCCATGGCTATCTGAGCCCACCAGGTGAATGGATTTTAGCCAAGCTGAGTAAAAATCACCCGGCTACCTAGCAGTGCTGTGTTCTCGCAGATGTACTCGCAAGATGTCCTATCTGTGAGAGTACCAAACATTCACGAAATGCGCGTGCTTTAAGAGCTATGAATGTTTAAGATTCAAAGAAGAGTCAACGAGATGAAGTTCGCGGCAAAGCGTCGAGTCCCAGTCGACGCATTATGGCCATCTGAGAAAGACCTGAGTTTTACTATACATCGTGGAGCTTAATGGGCATATTTATTTTCTTTAAAGAAGCGAATCTTATAGAAATGTCGATTGTTATGTTGTATTTGATATCAATGCCTTCTGGCTTGTAAAACATAGAAAATTTAATACATTCAGAAGCGTCGTGCAATGACGTCCGGGTTGCTACTGTTCAAAGAGTAGAAATACGCGGATGCATCAAAGTTCCACCAAATCCAAGCATCGCGCAAGGGGGTCTCTCGTCGAAAGCTTTCTTTGATCTATAGGTAGTATTGGCTGAAATCGTGTGTAACAATGTTTGGTACGAGTATAACCCAAAGATTGTAACCCGCGTAAGCCGCGCCTTTCTTGTTATTTCAGATAGCATTTGCCGCATGACGCTCAGTCTCATTGGGATAAACTCTTTGATTCTTTTTCAATGTGTGGCCGGAACTATACCAACAAGTAGATTATATCGGCTGCTACTCCCGACCGAGTTCTCGCCAAAGGAAAACGAAGGTTGACCAAATCATCTATAAACATGGGGTAAACGTGGAGACAAAAGCGATTTTATTTTCATTGTAGCTCAAGGAGTAAAAGCAATTCGCTCCAGCACGAAAGTCATTCTGAGAAAACGCTTGGAGAATACCTTCACAACCCGATAAACGCGCTCCGTCTAGCGATCTATTCACGGATGGGGAGTGGTTAGCCTGTCTGATCTAGTGTTTTGCATCTTGAACAAATTTTTCGATAACTTCGCTGAATGGTGCCGGTTTCAATCCATCATAATAGTTTTTGCACATTATGGCAAAATTTGTCGACACGTAGCTTGGCTGTATCCTCGTCAGTAAGGGTATCCCTTGAAGCACTGACTTAATCCATTTTATCAAACGATCCCAAATGACCACAATGCTAGTATCGTCGGCTTTGACTTCCGAGAGATGATTCGCGCTTAAGAATTACCAACACTTTGTCAAACTACCAGACGCCGACGCATGTTGCAAAAGCTTAGCCTGTTGACGCGTTTAACCACGCAATCATATGTTAATTTCGTCTTACATTTTTTGGATCATCAGTACAGATTGCCATAAAATTCCGCTTCCTAAGCGGCCGCCCGATAGAATTAGATTTCTCTCACAGTGTTCTGTACTCGAGGTCCGCATCATGAGTAAAGCATTCCGCGTTGAGATCCCAAAGTACCAGAAGCAAGCCTTCGGATAAGTATCAGTGGCACAAAAACTCGCCTAAATGATCCGATAAAGCGACATTTAATATTTTAAAAGTATTGCCTCCCAAAATTTTCAGCACCACATGACACATTGCCCCGGCACTTTATGTATCATCGGATCAACTAGCATTATCAACATCGCGGAATGCAACATTTCATAATTGGAGCAACGCAAAAGCGTATTCACTGCCGCATTTGTCAGACCGGCTTAAGCCTTAACTTCTCGGATGTTCACCACATAATATGAAGGTTATCTTGTTAGTCTTTGTGCGACGTCGTATTTGCAATGATGCACGATCTACAAAAAATACACATGACTTTGTGCTAACCGGCTTCTTTTCGTACTTGACAAAAACATACTACTTCATTGCAAAGAGCGCATTGTCGTAAACTGGTGATTTCGGTTTTGCCGTTTTTAGCCCGCTACACTTAAATGCAATATCGAGATAATACATATGTCATCTGCTCGGAGTAAAGCATAACATATGGCAAAGGCTGGCGCATCACAGATGACTTGCGATGGCAACTCCAAGTTTGAGAAGTTGCATTCGAGGCACATGAGGCTTTCTCTAGTGCTGTGAAGGCCGAATTTTTTTCGACACTAAAAAATTTTCTAGAAAATTTTCCAAGGCATGTCGGAAAATTTGCCTGATATTTGTCTAAGTAGTCGACTAGGCCAAGTTTCTTCTGAATAATCATTTCAGAAAGCACACTGGTCAATCGAGGGAAGCTCATGATTTTTGTAAGATCTGCTCGCAAGGCAAGTTTCGTCGAAGAGACTTGCGATGGGGCTTTTTGGCAACAGTTACTTTAAAGCAAACACTTCACCAGTACTAGCAAGTGTTTCAATGCCCACATCCGACTCGTTACAATTATAGACAAAAAATGTGCATAGGAAGGGCGTGGCCTGAATAGCACCGTCACCCGACAATTTGATGTCATTTGTGCGCGAAACAAGCCTGGTTGTATAACTAGCGTCCCCACGAGCCGTTCGTTCATAGTACCTATTGCATGTATATGTATGTCGCTGCCACTCGCAAATATGAATCTATCACGAACAGGGTACTGGTAAAGTGTAACTTGTCAATTTGTTTTGCAGCAATCTCATTTAGTTGTGCCGAATTAGTGGTGGCATGTAGCATATAATGACTATGCACAATTTACCACGACCCAGTAGAAAATATCTTAACGCGACGTTTCTCCCCTTGTAAGGGCCATTGACGTCGAAGACCGAAGCGGTAGTAAGCTTCGGGCTCGAGATGGGATCGAAAAGCGATCGAAATCGGCGCATATCATGATCCTACAGTGGTTCTCTAGTGAATCCCTTAATTTAGGCTGTAAGCTGCTTTTCTGCGCCAAAGACGGTTGATACGAATAAATGTGGTCATGTGTCGTGGTCTTTTGGTCCCGGACCAGTTGAGATTTAGAATTCGCCAAGTAGAAGGGTTTGGTCGTAGCTTTATTTCGACGGTCACTTCTTTTCACGATAAACGGCTTGCTGTGGATCAGATGAGCCTATCGTGCGGTGCGTTGAAGATTCGCGGTTTTGTGGTAAAAATTAATATTTCATCATGAAATAAGTGACGGTATTGTTGTGGAGGGTGCATGTCTCACCTCATACTTACCTCTTCGTACGAAAGAAGAGTTTGCAAAGGGTTGAAATGCGGTGAACTTACCGCGATTATACGAGGGCTCTTGCAAAGCACTGAGCTCAAAGAGTGGTGCAGTTATTCACATGAACTTTATGGGCCTCTTTTATGGTATGTTTAAGAAATATCGCAGCGTGGTGACTGGAGGGCCTCCTCGCACATCGTTCAAAGATTGGGGATTACGTAATTGGCTTCATCACCAAATCAAATATAAGTCAATTAGCGCATATTAAAAATCGGACAAATCCGTGTCCTGCATCAAAGCTATCGCATCAAAATATGTGAACCAAAAGCGCTTCCGCTTTATAATAAAAGTGCGCTCATTAATCACTCCAGCCCCTACAGAAAGGAAGTGCATGGCTATCAACTTCTTGAATTCGGAATGATGGATGGAGACATTAAAGCCACGCCATGCCTAGGGTAAATCGCATGTAACATGTCTTGAAAAGACTTGTCAATCCATGCTGTCCAGGCCGTTGAAAAATTTAATACGGTTTAACAACACTTTAAGCATGTTCTGACAGTTATACTTTGTACACATTGAACGACGGCCACGAAATTTTCGGACCTTCCTACGGCTTCACGGAGCTTGGACATTAATTTCACGGCCAATAACTCAGGGCTGTGATCCTCAATCCAATTTAAAAGAGCAACATCCTTTGCGCTAGTGAATACCGCAGAGATGCGCCGCAACTGAGAGCTTTCATGGCGAAGGTCCAACGCTGTTGGATCACTCGTAGATATTCAACCTCTAGACCCCTGACTGCTCCTCACCTCATGAGTCGTATTCCTCATTAAGCGCAAAATCTAACGGTTTTTTGATAAAGACACGAACGTCTCGGTTCAAATGCATCTGATGGAGAATTTTCGTGAAGATGGTTGTGGTCACTGCACCTAGAGATTTTCTGCCAAAACTGCGGCAATAAGCGTTCGCAGCTCCTGAACAGAAAATCCAGCTTATTATCTTTATTGACATGTGTGAGAGCTGAGGTCGCACTGGCAATGCAAACACTCGCGGTATATCACTTCTTGACTTTTCATATTGAAAGGTTCTTTCTCAAAGAATGAGCCTTTGTGCTTGTTCTTGCGCTTGAATCCTAGCTTGGGGATCCCAAGCTCGATGCGCTGGAACCCCGTCTACAGCATGGCTAAATTTCTGGCCATCGTACCCGGATGGAGCAACATTCTTCAGTATGTACTCATATTGCTGGCTGATCAACATAAACAGTATTATGATGGAAGCAATGTTAAAAAAGACGAAGTAAGTATTTTGAGGTCCTTAGTTCGCTATTTCGAGCTACCTCTAAGCCTATCTTATGGCGTTTTTCTGGGCGCAACCATGACGCGTCATCGTGGACGCAATCATGTCGCGTTATCGTGTGCGCAATCACGTCGTCCTATGACCCCGAGATTCGATCGCGCAACGTATGCTGTTAGCCGTTCTTCTAACACTCCCTCCTCGCGATCGTGTCATTGCCGCCATAACTAACGCAACCCCACGATCGCTCGCAGCTCTGCAAGCTTGTGCTGGTCAAACACCTTTGTCAATAAGTCCGCAAGCATAAGCTCGGACCGGACGTAGCGCATCTCAACGACGCCGCGACGAGCCAAGTCCTTAACAAACTTGAGGCGCACGTCGATGTGTTTAGCTTTTAGAGACGAAGTCT